GTCGCCTGCCTCCTCCTTCTCGTTCAACATGACAGATGCCGCTGTGTCCTTCGCCAAGGACTTCCTGGCAGGTGGAGTGGCCGCGGCCATCTCCAAGACAGCGGTAGCGCCTATCGAACGGGTCAAGCTGCTGCTGCAGGTACGTCGTGGGGTCGGGCGAGCCCAACCAGGAAGTGGGGGAGGGGTCGTACACAACGCAGGGGTCCCCACGGGAGGCGGGGCGCCAAGTCTAAAACATGTCTGAGGAAGTGGCAGGGTGGGGGTCGGGGTAGCGGCAGAGTCGGACCAAAAGGCAAACTCGAGGAAGCTGAAGTTTAGGTCTAGGAAGGGGCCGGGGGCGGAGGGAGGCGAGGAAGGCCAGGCGCTCAGCATCCCGGATGCCGCACAATCCGAGAGCGACTGTAGCCTCGGGCCTTGGGAACAAGGGCGAAGTGTAAATGCCTGCCCAGGAAAGAGGAGCCCTGGGCCTAACGGAGGATCTCAAGGTCGCGGCAAGGAGATAACAGCCCAGGGGAGGCTGAGCCGGCCGGTCCCACGGCTGCCCAACCGGGGACGCGCGCAAACCTCGCCGGGCCGGAAGCCGGCGCCGGGAAGCGCGTGTGCTTCTACGTCCGCCCCCGCGCGGCAGCCGCCACCTCCAGGCCTTCCACGCTGTCCCCAGCTCCGGCTATAGAGGGCACTCCTGGGCGAGCGTCATGCTGGTAGCACGGGTCACCTCTAGGAGAGGAATGGAGGCGGAGCGGGAGGGTGGTAGCGCAGACCTGAGGTGTAGGTCATCAGGGTGACCGCGCCCTACCTTGGACTCGCCCTACTGCCTGTGAATCTGAGTCTGAGGTAATGACCTTTCTCCTAGCTCTAAAGGTCATAGTCTGCTTGAGGGTGCCCCCCTCCCCACCCAAAGGGCTGGAGGCTTTAATTACCTGTAAGGGTACAGATCACCTCTCCCACCTGGGACAGCATTAGGGGGTTAGGAGGGTCCAACTTGGATGCTACCCAAGACTAGACTTGTTGAGGGTGGGAACTAACCTTAAAGGACACTGAGATGGTATCTCTGCTTCCCTTTCCCCTTCCACATGGTTGTAACTGTCTCTTGGCCCCCTTACTCCCTCTCAGGTGCAGCACGCCAGTAAGCAAATCACTGCAGATAAGCAGTACAAGGGCATTATCGACTGTGTGGTTCACATTCCCAAGGAGCAGGGTGTCCTGTCCTTCTGGTGTGGTAACCTGGCCAATGTCATCCGATACTTCCCCACCCAGGCTCTCAACTTTGCCTTCAAAGATAAATACAAACAGATCTTCCTGGGTGGTGTGGACAAGAGGACCCAGTTTTGGCGCTACTTTGCAGGGAACCTGGCATCAGGTGGCGCTGCAGGGGCCACGTCTTTGTGCTTTGTATACCCTCTTGATTTTGCCCGTACCCGTCTAGCGGCTGATGTGGGTAAAGCTGGCGCCGAAAGGGAGTTCAGAGGCCTCGGTGACTGCCTCATTAAGATCTACAAGTCGGATGGGATTAGGGGCCTGTACCAAGGCTTTAATGTGTCTGTGCAGGGTATTATCATCTACCGAGCTGCCTACTTCGGTATCTATGACACTGCAAAGGGTAAGTGTGTTGTGTGCTTTGAAATTGTTCTTATGAGACCATTTAAAAGATCATTTTGCCAACCTAATTATCCAGGAACCAGCACTTTTTTTTTTTTTTTTAAATAGCTGAAGGAAGCCAAAGTCAATCCCGTACATGCACAGATGAGGACATGTTTGGGGGCTGTGGGATGCCATCACTCAATAGAATCCTGCTTTTTGATAAAAGATGTCTCCTTTCGTGTTCTCAGGAATGCTTCCAGATCCCAAGAATACACACATCTTCATCAGCTGGATGATCGCTCAGTCCGTCACAGCCGTGGCTGGATTGACTTCCTACCCATTTGACACTGTCCGTCGCCGCATGATGATGCAGTCAGGGCGCAAAGGAAGTAAGTTCGGCTTGAGTAGGAGATAGAAACGTAGGCGTGGGGCAGGCTGTAGCCACAAACTGGCAGTCTTCACATCTTGGGATGGGACTGGATCCTGTCTGTATCAAAGCTGTCTTTGAGCCCGGCCTGTTAGATGACTATGAATGAGGATGCTTAAGTGGTATTAGAGGTTAAGACCAATGGGTAGTCTACATATCCAATTCCCTAGTCACAGCATTAACTTTAATATTTCAGGATTGCCCCCATGAATGTGTAAATGTTGAGTTTACAAACAACAGACACTAACTTTTAGAGAGGCGGGGCTCGGTTCTAGTCCGAAGTTTTAGGCCTCTCATAGGCCCTCAGTCACCAACTCCCTGTGTTTATTCTTTGCAGCTGATATCATGTACACAGGCACACTTGACTGCTGGAGGAAGATTGCTCGTGATGAAGGAGGCAAAGCTTTTTTCAAGGGTGCATGGTCCAATGTGCTCAGAGGCATGGGTGGTGCTTTTGTGCTTGTCTTGTATGATGAAATCAAGAAGTTCACATAAGTTATTTCCCAGTTTGTTTCCCCCTGTGAACAGGCATGTTGTATTATATAACATATCTTGAGCATTCTTGACAGACCGTTGGCTGTCTGTATCAATGGCAACTACCTACTGGTTGAAAATGGGAGCAATAATATTCATCTGGCCAGTTTTCTCTTAAAGCCATTTCCATGATGATGATGGGACTCAATTATATTTTTTATTTCAGTCACTCCTGATAAAATAAAAAAATTTGAAGAAATAAAAATATCTGAAACGCAGTTTGGCTTGTGCTTGCAGTTTATTTTTACCTAAATGTTACAACAAAGGGTTTAAGCTTCTGGAATGAAGACGTTTTTTGAAGACCATCCATTGAGTAACTTGGTTGTGTGACCTCAGAACACTCCCAATACCGTAAGCAAAGTGCAATTCAGGCCCAGTGCATCCCCAAAGCATCAGCCTGTTGCCTTGTCTGTAGTTAAATGAGCTTTCTCCAAACAGTACTGTGCCCTGCCTTTCCTAGTTCTGTGGTTATTAATCTAGATATATTTAGAAATAGTAGTAAATGAATTTTCATCCAGTTGCCAGCCTTCATCTTCACCTGGCTTGGGGCATTTAATCCCATTCAAAGCAGAGGATTAGAACTTGAAGTTACGTAGTGCTGAGATTGCAGTGCTGTCGAAGATTAGGGAGCAAGCTAGACAACTCCTGTGACCTCAAAACTCACCCTACAAAGAGGAACTGGAGTGCCTGCATTTTGTAATAAGCCCAGTCAATGGAGGACATGCATGTTTATTTTGGATAAACATCCAAATTTGGGATCCATGTGAAAATGTTGAAAAACTTCCCAAAGCCCTTGACGAGTGTTTAGAAATCCTGTGGGTTTTGCCTGTGACATGAGATTATGAAGAGTAAAGCACCGTGTCTCAAGCCATGACGTTAAAAGAAAATGATAGGGTAGGTGATGCCCGTGCACAGGGAGAACTCGGCTCTGAGGACCACCGCCCACTCTCCGTATAAGGGCTGCTCACAGCAGGTTTGCATGGCGTGCATTAATCCACAGGAGATATCTTTAGTCCTAGAAGTTTCTTCGGTGTGTCATGCCCATGAATCGTATAGCTTAGTTAACTCTTCTGGTGTAGGCCTGGATTAAAAACCTGGGCTCTGCCACCTACTAGCTGTGCTGTGTTAATTTCTCCAAGCCTCAATTTTCCTCCATCTCTCGACAGCACACAACAACAACAAATAAAATGAGAAGAACGCCTGTCTCAGAGGGTTGCGGCAAAGATTAAACAATTTATGCAAAGCAACTACCATAGAACCTGTTGTTGTGTTGTTATGTGCTGTGGAGTCAGACCCGACTCATAGTGACCCCTCCTTGGGTTGCTGAGGCAGTATCAATAAGGAAGTAGATTACCCAACCTTCCTTCCAAGGAGTGGCTGGTGGGTTTGAACCACCAGCCTTCCGGTAAGCAGTCAAGTGCCTTAGGCACTATGCTACCAGAGCACCTATAGAACCTGTTAGGCATACATAATAAGCCATCCATAAATGGTAACTGATCATTATAAGAGCTCTGGTGGTGCAGTGGTTAAAGCATTGCTGCTAGCCAAAAGGTCGGTGGTTTGACCCCACCATCTGCTCCATGGGAGAAAGAGGAGGCAGGCTGCTTCCATAAAGATGTACAACCTTGGCAACCCTAGTGGGCAGTTCCATATGCTAGAGGGTCGCTATGAGTCAGAATTGACTCAATGGAAGTGGGTGGGCAATCATTATTAGGAGACACTTAAGGTTTCAGGAGCTCTAGAATCAGAAGTTCCTGGGTTTGAATCCTGGCTCTGCTGGTTATGAGGAACCCTGGTGGCACTGTGGTTAATTTGCTTGGCTGTGAACGGAAAGGCCCTTGGTTTGAACCCATAAGCTGCTCTAAGGGAGAAAGATAATGGCAGTCTGCTTTCGTAAAGATTGACAGCTTTGGAAACCTTATGGGCAGTTCTCTGTCCTATAGGGTCGCTCAGAATCAATGATAGCAACACTGCCTGATACTTATTAGCTGTATGACCTTGGGCAAGTCATTTAATCTCCCTGAGCCTCAAATTTCCTCATCTGTAGAATGGGGATATAATAGCGCTAGCCCTAGTTCTTAGTGGTGGTGTGAGTTAAAACACATAGAGCAATTAATATGGTACCTGGCATGTAGTAAGAACTCCAATGTGAGATTCTTCCATAATCAGGCACTCATTCTTGTTGAATGAAGATTTCCCAAAGTAGAGCGCTACTTAAGGTTGAATTCAAGCCCGCTTATCTTTTTTTGTAACAGCCCAGATATACTATATTGTGCAGAATTTATGTAAAATGAACTTCAGCCTAGGTCTTTTTCAGATACAGCTCTTTTTTTTTCTGTTAAAGGGGACAATAGGCTCTCCACTTAGGGCTGCAACCCACAATACAAGAGGACCCGAGCCCCCTTTATGGTTATGACAATAGATGTGGACTCACAGAGCTGGCAGCTATTAAAATAAAACCTAGGACCAGGCATTAATGATCAGAAAGCAAGAAGTGGCGCCTCCTACAATTGGGTGGCTGACATAGATTTTTTTTCTGTTCTTTCTATTCTTGTTGTTCAATGATTTTTGAAATTTAATTTAAAGACAAAGTGGTTTTAATCTCTCCAAGCTGTGCTGGATAGTGCTATAGAATTCATTATGTCCATTATGCTCATGCGAACATTGATGGTACACAATCTTAGCAACACCCTAATTTATGCCGTTGTTTTGTTACTATTCAATGCATAACAGGATCCGTGAAGCCTGATTCCAGGTGAGAGAGACAGAATACAGGTCAGCTCGTGCACAGCCGCACATCCTATTCCAGGGTCCTCGCCACTCAGTCACCAGAGGCAGTGTGGTGCGGGTGCTCCGGACCTCCGGAACACAAAGCGAGGGGTGTCTTCCCAGAGGGGCAGTTTTTGTGGATGGTAAGTCATTTCAACCATTATTTTCATATTAAAAGAGATGCCAATATGTTACAGAGTCGGTTGCAAATTTGAATGCCCTTTTTAAACATAAACTACAACGAGAGTTCTTGTGGACCGAGGACCTTTTCTGGCACTGTCCCCAGACCCCTGGGGGGCACCTATTCAGGCTCCTATGCCACTATGGAGACTTTGATAGAAAAATTTGAGAAGTACTGTTGCACTGTGCAATAGATTTTCAAGTGTCAGTGTTATTGGGGTAAACTTCATTTCTCCATTGAAGTTTGTGAGAACAGTACTGCTAATTGTTTTCTTAGGCTTTTAATACAGTTCATATATATGCATGGTAATAAAAGTCAGAGAGAAAAGATAGAAAATGAAAAGTAACCGTTTCCCTGTCCAGCCTCTCCCATCCCTAACCGCCTTCCTCAAAAGTAATCATTAATAACAGTTTCTTGTGTGCCGCCCGCCCCCTGAAAGGAATGCATATTGTTGTAATAGCAGCTGGTTTGTTTTATCTGAATTATATTCCGATCTTTTGGATTCAAAATGGCATGATTCTTGTAGAACAGTGTCAGGTTGTGGGGTACCAGAACCCAATAGAAGCTGCCAGGAGGCAGGTGGGCAGGAGAGGCTAGCTTCTGGCCTCTGAGTAAGAATTGCTAACTGTGGCCCATTACTAAAACCCCAAGCCAGGTCAAGGGCTGAGGGGATGGGGGAGTGAAGAGTTGTTACTTAGGGAGTACTGCGTTTCTGTTTAGGGAGATGAAAAACATGTGGAAATGGATAGTGGTGATGATTGTACAACATGGGGAATGTCCTTATGTCACTGAATTGTACACTTAAAAAATGGTTCAAATAGCAAATATTTTGTTAGATAAATTTTACAATGGTAAAAAAAAAAAAAAAAGTCCTAAGTCAGTACTTGCCTTTTGGATTTTAGCTTTGGTTGTTGAGTAGCCTGGGGTAAGTCACTTCTAACATCAGAGCCTTAGTTTCCTCATCTGTGAAAAGAGGGATGTGGGGAGAAGACAAACTCTGAAGTCCCTTCCAGTTTCAACGTTTTTCCTGTGCCATCATTTGCACAGAGAGCAGGATCCATGAAAGGACTGGGTGGGGTTAGGAGATCGAATCTTTCCAGAGCATCTTTGAAAATATGTACCACATTTGTTAAGTGAATAGTGTCTGACTCAGACTGCAGTCATTTGCAGACTCTGTGGGTGGGTTGGCACTGGCAAATAAAATGACAAATGTAAAGATTTACATTAATTTTGGGACCACAAGGCTGAGCAACAAAATTACAGCTTGGGGTTTGGGTCAAAGGTGATCTGATTTACCTCAAAATAATTAACATCTATCTACTCAAAGCCTCATCTTATTATGTGTAATGTGCACTTCAGTATGCAGGTTGAAATTTATTTGAGCAACAAATATTGGACACTGCAATTTCTGGACTCAAAAAAAATGCCTTGTGTTCCACTCAAAATGTTTGGAGGAGCTGTCCTATCATTTCCCTCATTATTTGCTTGATGTGCAGGTGAACAAGGTCAGAGGCATGGTACTCTTCCTAGCCAAAGGCTTAAAAGAGCCTCTGGTATCCCAGCAACAAATGTAAACAGTGTTCAAATGACAGATTGGATGGTTGCTTGCACTGGACCCTGATCAGAGACAAAACAGAGTTAAATGAAAGGAGTCTTAATTCAGGACTTTCCTATGACTGTCAATGAAGGAGACAGTGGAAGAGAGGTCTTATTTTGATGGTGAACATCCATCCTGGGGTTTCATTTCCTTGGGCAACTTGTGTAAGGCAGGGAAGAAATTCAACACTGCCAAGATTTGAGAAAACGTATGCGTCTGATCACATGACATTTCTCCATCTCTGTGGCTGTCACTCCCAGAATGGAGATGGTTGTGGCAAAATCTCTGCTGAATAGCTATTCACTGATCAACTGCCAAGGGCATTGCATTAGCTCAGTTCCAGAAGGAATGTTTGGGCGTGCAAAGGAGATCTCTTCCATCTAAACACGCTTCCAGTGATGCCCTCCTCGGCAAGGAGCAGAGCCATCTCCCGGGCAGAGGCAGATGGACTACGAAGCTATTGATGCCTCACGGCCATCCCCTTCACAGACCCCTGCCAAGTCCCACGAGGGGCCCTATCAAAGTCTTGACGTGGTCATGTGGATTTATGAAAATATCAAAAAGTAGGATATGTTTGTAACCTTTTACAAAGAGGACCTCCAAATGAAATAAGCTGATGCCTCCACAAAATCTGGCACGGCTCCTTATGGGAAGTAAGGACACAGGG